TGAAAGGTTACCCAATGTATATAATTGAATATTACCTTTTTCATATACTTATTAATAATGCTAATATTTTGCGATAATCCAAATCGTAATATAAAGCTTTATATTTATTATTTGACTTTAACATTTTTTAGGTAGGATGTAACATTTTATAAATATAATACCAAATGCACATATTCACGTCCTGATTGACTAACTTCCAGTTGTGCTAGTTTCCCTGCCGGTTCTTCTACTATTGCTGGGCACAGCAGCACGGACATCACGTGATCAAGGGGGGTAGCACAACGGCTCGCCTGGAGTTGCAGTCTGGTCTTCTCCTTTCTCATGTTGGTTTGGACGTTCACCTGACAAGACGCCCACACTCCTCTCTCTTGTGGGCCCTATGTTCTGTGGAACACAGATCACAGAACATAGACCAACAATAGTGATTTACGACGTTGTTACTGAGGTTGTGAGTCGCAAAGACACGACTGTAGTCCTCATGTCTCTGAGCTAAATCTTCTGACTAACTAACTTCTACTGGTATCTGAGGATACTTCACAGTCGGGATTTTCTTATGCTGAACCTAGATTCAGTAGTATGGGAGTTTTGGACGTAAGTGGAGATCTGCAGTAATAACACCAGGAGGCATCACTGATTGAAAACTCAACACTCACGCGAGCTATTTAAATCTCTGCACAAAATTCAATTTTATACCAGCAAATAATAAGCCAACCTAGGACTGGAGAATACACTAGACCTCATCATCACTAACAATGAATGATCTGATAATAAATAATCACATATCAAAAACAATATACTCCAATCACAACATAATTGAGTTCAGAGTCAAGAAGCGCGGAGCCCCAGACCGACATAAAGCGATTAGTCCCCGAGGTATCATTCACCAAATACAACTTCAAATAACAAAAACATAAAGTGGGACCAAGTAAAACCAAGTCCTAACCGCGTAGACGATGCTGGGAAGAAATACTAACAACACAGACCCCAACTTAGCCCTAGAACAGATAAACTCGGTCGCCCTTCGTGTATGCAACAAGGCTTTATTCCTCTAAGAAAAAGGAGGATAGATTGTAAAAAACTTGAAAGAGAACAGGCGCACCCTTATACATTGCGACGGAAAAGAAATAACAGAGCGGCTAAAGAGGTCAATAAATCTGAAATGCGAAGGGAGCCCCTGGTCAGAGAAGAAAATAGCAAGCATCTGAACTTAAGCAAAAGAATCCTTTAGGAGTCATGAAATCGCGGGAAGGAAACTAAAATGCAAAAAAGAAATCGAAAGAAACCCAAAGTATTTCTTCTCCTATGCAAATCAAAATCGAGAACAACGTCCAGAATTGGCCCCTACTTAAACAAGATGGTCCCCTACACAGATGAACAACAAAGAAATGAGTGAGCTACTCAAGTCCCCAATAATGACCTCAGTTATTAGCAAGCCGCTAAACCCAGACTGAGAGTCCCGAAGATCAAAAAGAATTTTTATATATGAGAAGAAGCCCAAAATTTGATTAACACAAGCCTATCCGATGTACCGCTGCCGCCAAATGACTTCGAAACAGGCGATAAATACAAGCCCATGCCTCTCTGCCCCAGGCCTACACATGGAACTCTGTGTTCATCAGAAACTGCAAAAGCCCGCTATCACAGCCTTTTCCATCCTATAGGAGGAGGGAGCAAGACACGTGGGTCGTCCCACAGTTACAAAACAACAGACATAGCCCCACTCCACAAAGGTGGCAGTAAAGCAACAGCAAAAGAACTACAGACCAATAGCACTGAACATCCCAATATCAAAAAATTCTTTGAAAGGTCCTAAGAAGCAAGATCACCACGCATCTAAGAAACCCATCAGTTACAAACCCAGGGCAACAAGGGTGTAGAACAGGTCGCTCCTGTCTGTCTCAACCTATTGTACCACCTGACTACAAGGTCCTAAATGCACTAGAAAGACAAAAAGAAAGCATATGTAAAATATACATACTTAGCAAAAGCCTTCGACAATGTGACCATGGCGTAATAGCGCACAAAATGCGGGCTAAAGGAATAACAGGAAAAGTCTGTCGATGGATCTATAAATACCTCACTAAACAGAACACAGAGAGTAGGTCGACAACAGAGTAAAGTCCGAGGCAGCTACGGTGAAAAGCTCTGTATCAACAAGGCACAGTACTAGCTCCCATCTGGTTCCTCATCCTCATATCCGACATAGACAAGGAAGTCAGCCGACAGCACCGTGTCTTCCTTGCAGATGACACCCGAATCTGCATGACAGTGTCTTCCATGCAGACAACAGCAAAGCTCCAGGCAGACATCAACCACATCTTTCAGGAGGCTGCAGAAAACAAAAAAGAAGTTCAACGATGAGAAAATTCAATATTCAGAAAAGTTAAACCCCATGAGGAAATTAAATCTTCATCAGAGTACAAACAAATACTGGCCACAAATAGAGCGAAACACCAACGTCAAGAGTCTGGGAGAGATCATGTACGGGGAGGATCATCAC